AAAATATTTATATTATGCCTCTTGATTCCTTGGCGAACATAGGGTCACAACAACATCTCTCCAATGGACATGGTTCTGGGTGATCCTCTTCAGCTCAGGCCATGTCATGCTGGCTGCCTTCACCTCTGCATCAACAGTTCTGTTCCAAGTCTGTTTTGGTTGACCCACTTTTCGCTTCCCTTGTGGATTCCAGTCAAGGGCCTGCCTGGTGACACTAGAAGCAGGCTTGCAGAGTGTGTGGCTGATACATCCCCATTTCCGTTTCTTGATGTCAATATCGATTGGGGCTTGTCTGGTCCTCTCCAACAGTTGGTCATTGGAGATGACTTCCCTTGTGGATTCCAGTAAAGGGCCTGCCTGGTGACACTAGAAGCAGGCTTGTGGATTGCGTGGCTGATACATCCCCATTTCCGTTTCTTGATGTCAATATCGATTGGGGCTTGTCTGGTCCTCTCCAACAGTTGGTCATTGGAGATGACTTCCCTTGTGGATTCCAGTAAAGGGCCTGCCTGGTGACACTTGAAGCAGGCTTGCAGAGTGTGTGGCTGATACATCCCCATTTCCGTTTCTTGATGTCAATATCAATTGGGGCTTGTCTGGTCCTTCCAACAGTTGGTCATTGGAGATGACTTCCCTTGTGGATTCCAGTAAAGGGCCTGCCTGGTGACACTTGAAGCAGGCTTGCAGAGTGTGTGGCTGATACATCCCCATTTCCGTTTCTTGATGTCAATATTGATTGGGGCTTGTCTGGTCCTCTCCAACAGTTGGTCATTGGAGATGACTTCCCTTGTGGATTCCTGTCAAGGGCCTGCCTGGTGACACTAGAAGCAGGCTCGCGGAGTGTGTGGCTGATACATCCCCATTTCCGTTTCTTGATGTCAATATCGATTGGGGCTTGTCTGGTCCTCTCCAACAGTTGGTCATTGGAGATGACTTCCCTTGTGGATTCCAGTCAAGGGCCTGTCTGGTGACACTTGAAGCAGGCTTGCGGAGTGTGTGGCTGATACATCCCCATTTCCGTTTCTTGATGTCAATATCGATTGGGGCTTGTCTGGTCCTCTCCAACATTTGGTCATTGGAGATGACTTCCCTTGTGGATTCCAGTCAAGGGCCTGCCTGGTGACACTTGAAGCAGGCTTGTGGAGTGTGTGGCTGATACATCCCCATTTCCGTTTCTTGATGTCAATATCGATTGGGGCTTGTCTGGTCCTCTCCAACAGTTGGTCATTGGAGATGACTTCCCTTGTGGATTCCAGTCAAGGACCTGCCTCATGACACTAGAATCCCCATTTCCATTTTTTGATGTCAATCTCGACTGAGACTTCTCTGGTCCTGTCCCATCGAAAATAGGAAAACTTAAAATTGCTGTAAAAAATCATTTCTCTCTTTTTTTTTAAACCATGGGTAATAATTTTCTCTTAAAGAACAAAACAACTACTTTTTAGACCAATTTAAAAAATTACCAGGGTAAACCTCAAACTTTTGAACTGGAGTGTATATATTTTTTTAAAACAAAATATGGAGAAAACATGTAGAAACCCCTCCCCTATCTTTCCAAAGAAGGATAGAGAATACAAAATAAACAGATAATGGCAAAAATATTTATGGAGAATTTGTTTGTTTAGAGGCATATGAACACCTTATGGGTCATTTAATACTAAAATTAAATTTTCTTTGGAGCATTAGTAATTTCTTTTACAAAATATACCGATGGTAATATTTTTTTTCTTACAGAAATGCACTGCTGGTACATTTTTTTTCAAAAATATATTGCTGTATTTTTGCTATAAAAATGTATTTTTATACTTTCATAGTATTTTGATCCTAGTTTGGAGGTTAATTATTTGCCCACAGTTGAGACCCTATCAGGGGCTACCACTCCAGGTCAATGTGAACCTGGGAACAACAGCAATTAAAAGGTAGTTCCATGCTCCTAAAAACTTACCAACTTGCTGCCGGATGTAGTTTATCGTCATACACATGATGTGTATTCATGGAGAACCATGATTGCCTATGTTCTGAAGGGACATGGCATTAAAATAAAAGAAAAGTAAAGTAGAATCAGCTAAGTTCAAATCTGCTCCTAATTTGTTGTATTCACTCTCACATTAATGCCCTTGGGGAAGACATGAATTTGTCTCTTCTCCCTTCAACTATGGGTCAAATAGCAGTGTAAACTGGGATCTTGGATGGCAGTTACTTTAGGAGAAGAACTACTATGTATTTAGGGCTACAGATTCTATGGGCTCTTGAATAAAAGCCTATGATTCCTCTGGATTTTATTGAGATGGAAGCAAAAAATGTATAAGAAATTCATCAACATTACCTCTAAAACAGTAACAGATATAATTAGCACTAAATGAGGTAGCAACAACAACATCATAGAGTAAGGAATATGCAAAACAGATTGTACAAAATGACATACAAAATGCCCACTAATATAAAAAGAAGGAAAACCTGGAATTTGAAACCACGGAGAAAGCAAGGGGAAGCCATCTGAAAAAAGCATTATGTGAGCATCGCAGAAATATGCAGTGCTTTAAACACACTGACAGCTCACCATAATACATCTAGTCATAATTTTGACTTAATAAATTCACTAAGGAAAAAATACATTGAAGGTGCACTGATTTCATAATTCATGATAAACCTAAGACCAGGCTCATACATAATATCACGGATCATTAGAAAAATAGCAACACAATGCAGTATACAAAGTAATAGAGTGAGTGATTAAAACATTCACTTTCTGACTGTGAGACCCATGTTCAAATCTCACTATATTCAATTTGTCAGGAATCTGACTTCTTTAAGACCATCTCAAGCATGTGGCACCATTGGAATTTCTCTGAAAACCATACCATGTATTGATCCAAGATTTATGGATAGACAGAACTGTTTGGAAGCTGTTGATTGTGCTAGCATGAATTCACATAATTGAGGGTTTGAGTGTGTGAGCCTTGTTAAAAAAATCTGTTCATCACTCCAGATTGTGCTTTCTCTCCCAGCAACTGTAACTATCCTCAGTTTAGTTACAGTATAAATCACTGGGGGTTTGGGTGGGGAGCTATGGTTTTGAGTAGGTTTCTGCTGAATAAAGATTGTCTTGTTAGCTGAGCAGGTGAGTGCTGGCTATTTATTATATCAATCAAAATATCTTTTTTTTTTTTTGTTTATGTTTTAATCATTTCACTTCAAGCAAGGCAATGAATTGACTAAGATGCAGGGGTTTACTAAATGTTAGAGAACATGATAAAACAAACACTATCAGGGAGAGCGAACAATAAAAGGAGAAAATTAAGAAGACAGAAGATAACGGCTGATATTGCATTTTAATTTTTGAACATCAAAGTTGACTGTGAAGCCAGAAGAGAGTTCCACAAGCAAGAAGTGGGATAGAAGAAACTGTTAGCATAGAACTTATGGTTACATTTAGCTATTTCAATTGTAAAATGATGAAACCTTATTGACAGTCTAGTATTAAGCTTAAATTCATAAAGTCTGGGGATCATAAAGGAAAGTAATATTTATTTTGAATAATACAAAAATGTGGCACAAGGCTAAAAGGAGGGATAACGAAGGCTGGTCTTCAGTCTGTCTTATCTTAAACTTAGCTAGCCACAATTACTGACTCAAATATACCACAGTATTCTTTACACCAAAACAACACATTCTTACTTAGCATTCTTACTACAGTCACCATAATACCACAAAGTCTCTATGTAGTCCTAACTAGTTCCCATATGTACTATATTGGGGAGTGGGGAATAACAATATTTAAAAATGAAACCTCAATTTTTACAATAAAAAGCTAAAAAAAAATAGAGGAAAGTTCATCAGAACAATTAACATGAAAATATTTATAGAAAAGGCACAGGGAAGCTACATTATGGTCGTGAGAAAGTTGCTGAAGCAGAGATGCTAGGTTAGGAGCAATAACATTGCAGATTCTTCTTTGAATTTTATCAAGAATCTCTAAATACAATACAGAGACACCAGACCAGATGTGACAACAATGTTCAAAACATGGATGAATGATAGATTCTGGGAAAAAAAAGTGCACACACACATACTATGTTCGATTATATTAATCTATATTAGTATATATATTCATGGTGGCAATCTCACTTTGAAAAGAAGCAAGAAATACAAATGACTTATTTTGCTTTCTTCTCTTTCGCTGGTCTAGATTTTCTGACCGACATCCTCATCTTCATATTTCGCTATAACTAATCCATTTAAATTTTTCTTACAATGATGCATTCACTATTGTCTTTTTCCTTTTCATCTTGTCTCACCTAACGCAAACACCATTCAATTCCCTCCCTGGCCGTTCCTACCAAAATGGATCACTTTCTCATGATTTCCCAGCTGTCCTGGATTACAACTTTTCTGTCTGGATGAGTGTTACAGGTGCCACTAACTGTAAAAATGTTTTCTCCCCATCTTAATACATGTCCATTTTATTTCTTTCACATGAAGAATAAAAGAAAAACATAAAATTAAATATTTTTGGTAACAAAAAAAAAATAACTAAACTTTCTGTTATCAACTCGTTTTTATCGTCTAAATAAAGAAAGAGTAAAATGTTAGACATTGTACTGTAGTCGTAGTAATGATAATGGCTTTTTTTAAACATCAAGTATATTTTTTTGGTATGTAACCTAACTTTTGGCTTAAACGAGTTATCTCCCTTGCACTGATGACACCCGATGATAGCATCTGGTGGACAAATAATAATTGGAAAAATATATATCAAGATTTGCATATTAAAACCTTCTAATAATAATAGAGACTTAACAAAATATGCCAGCATTTTTGAAGGTTTGAGTAAACTAATATTAATACAAGATTCTATTTGACATAAAGTGGGGGATCGGTTTTCTATTGTTATCAAGTAATAAACTGATCCCCCACTTCAAAATAACCAAATATAAGAATATATTTGAAAAGTCACAAAAAAAACTAATCATATTAAGGACTTAAGAAAATATTCTGGCATGGGTAAACTTTTATTAATATAAGATTCTACTGGGTATAAAGTGGGGGATCGGTTTTCTAGTGTTATCAATTAATAAACTGATCCCACTAGAACTACTACATATTAATATAATTAAAAAAAACATATGAAAAATAAAAAAAACCTAATCATATTAAAGACTTAAAATATTCTTGCATGGGTAAACTAGTATTAGTATAAGATTCTACTGGGCATAAAATGGGGGATCAATTTTCTGTACTCATCAAGTGATAAACTGATCCCACCTCCAGAATTACTCAATTACTCCATATTAGAAAGAATATATTTAAAAATCACATATAAAAACTTAATCCTATTAAAGTCTTCACAAAATATTCTCGCATGGATAGACTTGTATTAATATAAGATTCTACTGGGCATAAAGTTGGGGATCGGTAATCTATTATTATCAAGTAATAAAATGATCCCCCTAGTATATATACATATTAATTAGAAAGAATATATTTGAAAATTCACATATAAAAAACTTAATCATATTAAGGACTTAAAATATTCTGGAATAGGTAGACTAGTATTAATATAAGATTCATCTAGGCAGAAAATGGGGGATCAGTTTTCTGTTCTTGTGCAGTGGCAGGATAAAGCTTTTGCTTTGCAAGCAAAATCACCTCCAGAATGTTAAAGGTCACAAAATATTTGAGCATATTGCTGCATTTAAAAATATATTTGTTATCTAATTAGTCATTTTTTTGTTGATTGACAAATCATTTCAAAGAGAGAAGTTAAGTTTATTTTTGTATCTACCTTGAAAGAAGAGAAGAAAAAAAAACTGAAAGTTTGGTCTTCAACCTCTCCTTTAATTTGATATGTAAATATTTCTTCTTTCTTTACCCCACCCAAACTTTGAAATTTTATATACTATTTACCACCTGTCCCACACCCACCACCAAACCCAGGAAGAGAGGAAGCATAGATTGAATATTATACAAGGGACATTTCTGATCAAAATTCTATTAACAACTATTTGTCATCTTCTATATTTCTAAGATGAAGTATTATGTACACTATTTACATTATTTGGACTATTGTCTTTGTTGCCATATTTATCACAATATTTCAGCCATTGTACACTTCAGCCTAATTCAGGTGGTTGAAATGTCCTTAAGGACACATGGCACAGTGGATAAAGGCATTGGTTAGATCCAGTGACAAGACCCAAAGAGTTGTGAGTTCAATACCTGGTTAAGACAGTGGAGAACTTGGAGAGAGGTGAATTAACAGAAGATAACTGATATCCATTAGACATGGCATGTGGAACTAGAACAGTCTACCCCAGCGAGCGAAATACACAATGTTCAGTTTGACATTCCAATGACCTGAAGAAGGCGAAAGTGTGCAACAGCCGAAATGTTGTGATAAATATGGCAACAAAAATGAGGACAATAGTCTGAATAATATAAATAGTGAACTATGTGTCATGCTACAGACTTATTGATCCAGGCACACATGCACACAAACACAACACACACACACACACACACACATGGTGGGTAAACAAAAGCTGTTTCCTTTTATTTCTCAATTTACTGGAAATAGAAATGAAATTTGCTCATAATTCTTCTGCTTTGGTCTACGCGTACAATGTACTATAACTATCTCTAAGTATGAAATGTATTCTTCCGTTGTCATGGATACGAAAGAAATATGACATAGATGCTGGCTGGTTCTGCAAAAAGAAAGAAAGAAACAAAGAAAAGAAAGAAACAAGCAAACAAAATGAAAGAGTCATAATTTTTTTTGTTCAGATTTTGACCGTGTAATAATGTCAAAATTTCAAATACCATATTTGTTGGCCTATTGGATACAACTAGATTTTGGCATGGAAAATTTACGAAAAAAGATGCAAGGGATGTTAGAGAACATGATAAAACAAACAATATTAAGATAGTGAGAACAATAAAAGAAGAACAATTAAGACACAAGATAATGATTGACAGTGCATTTCAATTTTTGAAGATCAAGGATGAGTAGAAAGCAAAATGTCATAAAAGACTTCTACAAGGGAGAAGTGTGATAGAAGAAACTGTTAGCATAGAACTTATAGTTACATTTAGCCATTTCAGTTATAAAATGATGAGACCTAACTGCCAATCTAGTACTGTACTTAAATTCGTAAAGTCTAGGTACCAAAGGGAAAAGTAATATTTATTTTGAAAAAATACAAAAATGTGGCACAAAACCATTAGGGAAGATAGGGGAAGGCTGGTCATCTTATCTTAAACTTAGCTAGCCATGATTACTTAGTCAAATATACCACAATGTTCCTTACACCAAAACAACACATTCTTACTTACCATTCTTACTACAGCTGCCATAATACCACAAAGTCTCTATGAAGTCCATATATACTGTTTGTGGGAGTGAATAGAAATTGGGTTGCCAAAACTATTTGGGAGCTGTCTTAGTATGTAGCTACAAGTCCTCCACTAACGGGCAGATAGAAACTCTTTAGACTTGGCTAGCAGCCTATCTTGAGATGGTGTCTTGATAAAAAAACTCCATCATCTTGACCACTTGTGTGGATGTATCAACCTAAAAAGCACACAGTGACTGAAATCCCAAATATCATTATGGCTGCTTATTTTGATCATAATCCTTTCATATTCACAAATATTTTTCCATATATTACAATTAAATAAGGCAAGAAATGCACTGTAACAGTGAGAATCACTTTTATTTCCCAAGTACTTTCCATCTCTTTCTGACACACACACAAACACACTCACACACATTTATATATATATATATATATATATATATATTATAAATTAACTGATTTAAAAATATCGCTACACAGGAATTACCATGTTTCAAAAACAGAAACTAACAACTTCAAATTCAATTATGTAATTAAATTAAAAGCACTAGTTCTGTTTCATTTGTAAGTGAATTCCTGTGTAGTGATGGAACTATATTTTAAATCAGTTAATTTATACACTGTAAATTTACACTGAGCATTGTTTTGTAAAAATAAAAATATCAATAAGAAAACTGGATTTTATATATATATGTATGTATGTATGCATAATTGTGTATTTGGGCAGCAATCCCTCTTTTATACAAGTTTCATTAAAAATGACTAACAGGGTACTGTATTGTTTTTATTTGATTTTTCTTGTGTTCTTATAATTTTCTTTCTGGTCAGAAACTTTGTAGAAATTGTCCAATTTTTGCGTGTGTTTTATGGACCATGTTTCATGTTGAAAGCAAAATATTAAAAAAGTTACTAAACCCAAAATGTTCATGATGTAGATATTTTTATATTAACACAAAACAAAAACAAAATTGATAATCACAAAACTACATTCAAAAAAAATTCTGTCCTTTACTTTATCTATGAACTTAGTCAAAAAAATAAACTCCCATTCTTGCATGTTTTTGTGAACTCTAGTAATAATACATTCACTACTTAAAAAACACAAGTAGAAACTCTTTCTACCTTAATTTTACTAGTCAATGTCCACTTTGATATAAAATAGGTGTTATAAAATATTTTCTCACGTGCATCCATGAGAATTCATCCTCTTGTTCGCTTTTCTTTAAAGAACTTAACATGAAACAAATGCTAGTTAATAATGGTTTTCTGAATGAATTCATAGATCACTAAATTATTATTTTGTAAGATAACCAATAGCAACACTGAAAATACAGATAAAAATAATAACATTAATATTTTCTATAAGAATCAAATGCATGTTAACGATAAGCAGGATGAATCTTATAAAGAAATTATAAAGAAATATTAAGCACCAGTTGACAAAAACAAGAAAATTTAATTAAAAAATTAAATTGATTATCTACTATAAAAGAATTTAAAACTGCTAACCTCATCGTCAACAATAATAAGTCACCTGCAAAATCCAAATTACAGAGAACCAATATTATTTACGAATTCACATGTCCCTTAAGATGAGAGCAATAATTTAAAATAATACAAGCGTATTTGACAGTTTCATTTATTTTTGTTTTGTTTTTTATCATGGATTGGCTGACACATTCTCTGGCCTTCTCCAGATTCCTGCTGTATCTGATCTTTGGAATTCAATTCCATCTTTTAATGCAAATGTAAAATTTTGTAATTGTTCTTCTCTTCCAGTGGCAGCAAAAGACCATTCTGATGCCGACTGCTTTGGTGTTGCTATTCTTTCACATGGAAGGGAGGGAGCAGTATTTGCAACTGATGGCTCTGTGCCCCTAAATATCCTAGTGCTTCCTTTTAAAGGAGACCGAGCCCCAACTTTAGTTGGGAAGCCTAAACTCTTCTTTATACAGGTAAAATAAAGAATTTTTAACTACTTTAAAAAAAAAAAGCATAATGTGATTGCATTTTTGACAATTTGCATTTTTTTTTTGTTTCCTTGTTGATAGTAAATACAGAAAGAGAATTGTAGGAACTCCTACAGAAGGTAGAAAAAGAAAGAACTAAACATCAGCTATAAGAAGACAGGAAGTATGGTTGTCGGCGAAAACAACAGCCCATGTGAATTACAAATTGGAGATACCAAAATTAACATCTATCACTCTGTACAAAAAGTTTATCCTGCCACTGGAGGTGACTCCGATCTCTGAACAATAGTGTGCTTGAATTTCATAGTTGTGTTGTCATATCCTGCTATGGCAGCAGAAAACAACTTTGAGTGAAATTAACAACGAAGATATTGCAACTGAGAAGCCTTGAAAAAGAATGCAATGGAAAGAGAAGTAATATTAATAATGCAGTTTGCTAAAGGTTAAACAAGTGCAAAAAAATTTAAATATCTACAAAGCGTTTTTACAGAGGACAGAAGATGCAAAACTGAAACCTGAAGATACATTAGCATAGGGAAAGATGACTTCCAAACTTTCAGCAAAGTATTAAGATACAGGAAAATTTTATTGTAAACAAATAAAAGTGTACATAATTTTTATGTAATACTAATCCTCCTATATGACAGTGAATGCTGGACCACAATGGAGAAGAGACTTGATGCAACAGAAATGTTGTTCTACAGAAGGATACTAAGAATACTATGGACTGAACATGTGAGGAGTGACAAAATTTTAGAGGTTATTTGGATCAACATATACCTGATGAAGGCTAGAGGACACAACAACTGAAATGGTGCAATAACAACAAAGATGTGGTTCTACAAGAACACCCAAAATGATATGAATACCCCAATTATAAATTCAAATTTTCAAGGTTCACGTTTTATGATTATTCATTCAATACAATTTTCCTATTTCACAAGCTCCACCTGTTTCCTGCCAAACAAAACTCAGCTCGGAGAAATATCATGATGCAAACAGAGAAATGGTTGAAACTTTAAATATTTTCTTTTATTAAAATACAATACAACAGAAAAGGTGACATCAAAATCTGAAAGCACATTGGAATAGCAAAAGATGTTTTCCAAAAGCTAAACAAAGTATTAAGAAATAGAAAAATTTCATTAGAAACAAAGTAAAGAGTAATGCAATATCAATCTTCCTTATGGCAGAGTATGTTGGACTTCACACATGAATTTGAGGCATGAAGTAACAGAGATGTGATTCTACAGAAGGATGCTGAGAATATCACTGACAGAAGATAATTAAATTTTAAGGAAAATGAAAACAGTTATACTTAGAATCAGAAAGAGAGAACATAAGGAAGAAAGAGGGTTTGGAGAATTTAACACTCACAAGATACAGTGAAGGAAAGAGAAGCAGAGCAAAGCAGCAAGTAATCCTCCAAATGAGCTTGTGTAAATGGCAGAACAGAGATTGGGAAGGACAGTATTGATTGATTGATTGATTTGTTTTTTATGGCTTTTTTAACCTTTTTTAACATTATTTTATGCCCAAAAAATTTTTATGCATAAAAAAAAAAATTTTCAATTTTGTTATAGATCATTTTAATGACACACACATACACAAAGATTTTAAATATATATATATATATATATATATATATATATATATATATATATATATATAATTATTATTTAAAAAAAAAATCTATAAGACACGGGGGTCTTTTGTTGAAACAAAAATGGCTATTTTTGTAGTGATTTTATAAATATATTTATGTTATAAATTTTTTTTTAATAAATAATTATATCTGCTCTACTTTGTATTGAGCACTCTTTTTAAGAATAGTAATTGTTGGTTATTGGAATTCATTAAAAATATACACCAATATATATACTTTATATATATATATATATATATATATATATATATATATATATATAGTGTAATATGGATATATAAGAGAGTTGTCAGGACTGGAGAAGAAGTGTTTTATATCCGGGTAGTTTATATCCGGGTTTGGTCTATTTTATATACATTAACACAGGCTCTAATTTGGGACCGGAGAAGAAGTCTCTTATATCCGGGTTTCTCTTACTGCATGGCAGTCTCCCCACCAGCCTTTACTGGGTTACTGCACAGCTGAGCACCTAACCAATTTTGCAGTTGCTATAGCAGGATGTGACAACAAAATTGTAAAATTTAAATATACTGTTATTTGGTGATTAGCATCAATTCCAATGGCAGGACAAGTGCTTTCCTGGGTGACTGATGTTGCCTAAAGTGTGTTTAAGGTTAAGAAGTCTTGTTTTTAATCCTGTGTGTCTGGCCATCCTCCTCACCAGTAAAGGCTGGTAGGGGGATCAGTTTAGCGTCTGATGACTTTATCATGTGTCAGTTGGTGCAGTAATCTTCCTGACCCACCAAGGAATTTAGAATATCTGAAGAATTATAATGACCCTGGCTACCCACCGCCCCACCCCAAGCAGCACCTTCACATTGCGTTTAAATGGATAGACCCAGGATCGATGCCTTTATGAAAAGGCAAATATTGAATTGAGAGCCAGATGAGACCTAAAATGGAGTCCTGCTGTCATATTTAGACAGGAGCTACACAATCCTCACTTTCCAGTGTTGATAGGGACCAAAAGAGTCCCCTCATCCTTGTGGGTGACACATTATTTTCCACCCTGCAACTTCTCTTTTACTGATGAGATGTAGTAAGCCTCTCACTACTCTATAACTACTTCCATGGAAAGTGCTCAGACAAACTACATTCTTTAGTTCCACTAGTTCTAACATTTCATGACTAAGACCCACCATGCTATGTACATTGTTGTGAACCACCCTCATTCCCTCTGTATTCCATTAGTGAGAAGTCCCACTCAAGCAGTTTCTTCCTGTGAACCACTGCTCTGTGGAACTGACTCCCAAGAGGTTGTTTTCTGATTACTACAATCTTAACCTGTTCAAGTCTAGAGAGCCATTATCTTTCCCACCTATCCTCATAAACTATGTCTCTTACATGTAACCATCTATCTTGAGTGGTTCCCTAGCCTTGTGCATTGTAAAAAAAAAAAAATGCCGAATAGTTTTTGCTCAAGCTTAAATGTCTCTCACATTTAAATGGCCTTGTGCTCTATTCCATAACCCTAGGAGGGTGAATGAATACTGCCTGTCAAGTTACCTTCTTTTTTAAAAATTTTGTGTTAGAATTTTTTTTCTCTTAGGGCAACAAGAGTAATAATTTTTTTCCTGCTAATCTGTTCACAAGACAGAAAAGGAGAGAGTGAAGATCTCCCCCCCACTATGTTATTTTTGAATTTTTCTCTTTTAATCTAGCAAAATCCAGCTTTCTTTACATTGTCTTGTCACTGAAACTAATCAATTTCAAGCAGTTACAACAGAAGATTTGCTACTTGTACCATCACTCCAAAAGACAATTCAATTTTCCATCTTCCTGAGATGTTTCCGCTGAGTTGAATATTACATCCATACTATCACAGTATATTTACAAGCACTCTTTGTCTCTGCCATACAGTAATCTTTCTGACCCATCATCTCCACTCTTTCCCTTTTTCATCTTCCCTCAACCCCAACTTTGTCCCCTGCTTCGGCTTCGTCATTACCTACACAAGGGAATTGACCGATACAGACAATACAGGCTGAAATCTATTTGGGACGATTCCATAGACTTGCATCACCGCAATTTACCACTTTTGTCATTACTTAGGAAAAACTGATTTAATGAAATCTGACATTCCAAACTTGGTCTTCCTAATTTTCAACAACTGTCTTCAGTGATTTGCAACTCTTGGAATTGGTTTGAGCCAAATTCACCCACCCTGACTCTCACCAAAATTGTCTTCTTGGAAACAAGTGGGATGAGCAAATTTCCAATTTCCAAATACAAATACTGTGTAACCTTTGTAAGAGATAAAGCTAACCTATTGTTGGTAAAGTTTGTAATAACAATACATTCCTTTTGGCCTGATTCAAGGTTGAAATAGTTACTATTTTCCCAGTATTGACAGCAGCTAGTGCTTGGGACCAGGTAAAAGAAAGGAAAACCCTCCCTCTTGGAAGATTGTGTTAGACCAATCTTTCTTCCAACATTTGGCCTCATGCCATTTCTTTTAATGCCATTTCTTTTAATGCCATTTCCCTTCAGGAAATTAGCAGTTCCATAGATTTATTATCTTAGAATTGCCATGCATTCTTGGGAATGTCTTCATCATGGCTTGAAATTCAGAGTTATTCTTTTCTTAGACTGGTTACCATCCTAGGCTAGAGACCTTAGTCTACTCTATTATTTAATCCATAATTTTAAATTTCTGGGGGGAAAGGGATATACTAAAATTAGGGCAGTTATCAACATTTAAAGTATCAATAACGTTGGAAAGGTATGAATCCATTTCTTCTTTGTCCTGCTCAAAATTAATAGCAGGGCAAACTGGGCTTTGGTTGGAAACCAATCTAAGAGAAGGATATATATTTCCAAATGTAAATATATTGGTTAAACATTAAATTTTAAACAATCACAGGTAACAAGATGTAGCTGTGACCCTATTCACTTTGGGGGAGTCTGTGAGAATATATGTGGTCATTTCCACATCTTACTTAGAGGAGTGCCGACTACTCACCCTTTACATCACTGGTGTAGGCTTTCATCTTGTTTCAGCGTCTATGACCCTAAGATAATCCTTGAGACCAGCATCTGATGTTGTAGGCATATATGATAGATAAACTCTGTATCCTTGATTGGGTTGATTGGATCTGTGCATGCCCTACAACGCTCCTGTCCACCACCATATGCTTTCTCAGTCCAGACCAGCATTCCCCAACCTTTTTACCCTTGGCCACACTTGAAATAGTTTTCATGTCTCTAGGAACCCCTGCATAAAAATTATTATATACCATTATTAATATATATATATATATATATATATATATAATTATTTTTATAAAAAAATTTATAACATAAGTATGTTATAAAATCA